AACCTTAGTGCTGGAAATTAAAGCAAATTTCAGCTCCGTCAGGCACATATCTCATACAGAGATGATTTTTATGTCTATTTAAATAGCAACGAAGCCATTCTTTTTTTGTATCATGATGCATTTCATAGAAAATGAGTTCATGTCTTACAGACATGCTGTCGTACTCTTTCTGATGTTTTCACTCTGGAAAGTATTGGAATAGTAGAAAATGGAACCTCATCATAGGGGAATGTGAGGTATTTCATGATAGCACATCAATCTATCAGACACTTTCCAAATTCAGAGAAGCTACTCAAATAAAATTAATAATAATGTTTAAACTATTATTAATAATAGATGCAGAGCTAGGCTATTCAAGTCCATCTAACCTAGGTAATGAATTCAGATACATTTAACAATGAACTTTGCCTTGTCATGTATCATACTGTAGTGAACAGCAGCTATAAGATGTCATATGAAAATGAAGATGACAAAATAAGTCTTCTAGAAGTTACATTTACCTAAGGCTACTTAATAATCTGAGACTCACCCAGCCTTAGCAGAGTCTTAAGCAATGTAAAGAGTACTGCAGATCCAGATATTTTGATCACTAAGGGCTGAAGAGATGCTGAACTTTTTTCATTCTTTTTCAATGTCAAAACCGCCTTCTTTTCTCTTTCTTTTATCTGGCTTTGGCTTCTTTGTCAGTTTCTTTCCCCTATGAGAATTTTGTTTAAAAACATGTGCCTAAAGTTAAGCTCCCCTGAAGTTAGTTTTGTGACATTTGAACTCCCCACTTTGGGGGAGGTTTCTTCAAGTATTTAGATTGTAAAAACTGCAGGTGGAAGCATAGTGGGATTTTCAAAAGCACTTAAACAGGTAAGGTACTTAGCTCCCATTTAAAGTAATTAGCTGTATTGAACAAGTTCCCCTTGGCACTTTTGAAAATTCCGCTGCTAAATGTTTATGTCTACATAAAAAAATATGATTGTCGTCCAGCATCCAGCAACTCCCTTTAAGGTTTATGACTGTTATAGGTTTTCAGCAGTTCTGAAAGTTAGACAATGTTCCTGGGCCTGTGTTCCCAAATGATCCTCCTTCGCTTTCTTGTTTCTTAACAGTTTCTACTAACGGTTATTGTCTAAAGTTAATCTCAGAGAAGAAGTGGGATCAATATAACCTATAACCTAAGGATAGAAAAATAATGACACAGGTGAATCTTCTGCACAGATTTGAGAAGCCATTTCCTTTGGTATATACATTCAGTCACTGAAAAAACTGATAGAGCTTTAAGACCATTGTTGTAATTATGTCTTATATTGGATTTCCTTATTACATTTATATTATGCAAAATAATACATAACACATACAGGCAAAGACTGCTGCAGGTTATGGGTAGCTGGAAATTAACCAGATGACCAGAAGTAGCATGAATTTTCAGTCTTTGCTGCATATATGGACACCCTTAGCAGGCCTATTTGGATGTAATAAAAGCAAGCAGCACTCACTCTGAGGTATAGTTTCCCTGCCCTTTACTCTGCCTCTATTACAGTAGTGTCTAAGTAGTAGTCTGAGGGTGTACACACATTAGCATTTTGGTTTCATTCAAGAGTCTGCTTTTGAAATAAATCTGCTAATTATCCCCACTTAGCACACTTGCTTATTGTGGAGTGGGTCTCCAGCTATGTGAACTGGATTGCTCTTGGCTGAAATGAAATCAGAAGATGGTTTCCAGAAGGACATATAACCTTCTTTAATCATCACAGTGTGTTCAGCTCACTGAACTATGTCAAAATTAGTTCAATATAACCTTTCTTCCAAGACTCAAATTTAAAATGCTAACCAAAGTGAACATCAAGTCCTCAGAGCCAACACCTTTTCTCCACAGATTGACTCTTACCATGTGATGTTGCTTGTTAAGGTAGCTATAAACTGAGTTGTCAAGATGGTTGTGTTCATGGTAGAATCCCATCTTTGCACCCACTTCCCACTAGGAGGTAAAATCCTACAATGCCAGAATTCTCTCAGATCTGCAACTATCTTAAAGGGGATCTCCAATTTCAAACACTGGCCAGCATTATTTGGGAATATATCTTCCCATTCTTGCTAGATAGAAAATTAAATAAAAAACTCATGAATGAGACCTCATTTTTGTTAAGTGCTTTTTCAGAAATGTAGGTCAACCTCAATGCAACCGTGTGTTTTGCCTAAAAAAAGTAATCCAGACAAGACAGATTGTAAGACATAATTTGTATACTTCGTAAATTGCACCTGCACCAGCCATTCATTCTGGTTATTCTCTACATTGATTTAGAATTTTTTTTATGCTTTAAGAGTCCGTTCTTGTTTGAATCACTCCATCACTTACGGCTACTGATGCTAATATTCAAAATTATTTTTTTTAAATAAAAGATTCAATTGTGTTTAGACTGTGAGTTTTCCAACATTCATAGCCCTATATTGCCATCCTGGAAATTATGTCTTGTGTTGTTTATATGTCAGATATACTAGAATGAAAATAATAATATGAATCTTTACCAGTGACCTTCAGAAATAGGAATTTATTATCAGTTGTTGCCCCTGGGATGTGTAACCTGAGGCACTCTAATGTATTGCCAACCAGGAAGAGTTTTTAATCATGTTTTTAGCCAATGAAATCACCATCAAGACAAAAATATGTGAAATCATAAGTAGCTGTACAATAAAATGATTTTTTTTTCTTTTTTCTTTTATTAAGGTAGAAACTCTGAAAAACACAAAGGAATTCTGTGTACCTACCTAAGCCATGGATTCACAGTATAGTAAATGTGGCTTTAGGATGCTTAATGCCAGATAAGAAACATTGTAGCCTCATGGTATTAAATGCTGATCTGGTATAAACTCACTTTGCTAGTTCAAATGTGTTAAAAATATTGAACACCTTAGCTTTATCCTGTCAGGCTGTCTGCCAGATGAGATATTGCCTGTCCAGGCCATTCTAAGTGTATGCTGGATCAGGTGTTGTGGACTCTCCTGGTGATTCTGTATTGTGTGCTATAATCTGGCAAATATGCAGTACTGTTCCTTTTGAGTCATCCCAAATTTATCCACAGATCTGGATTAATGACCATGGCCTCCTCGTGCCCCCATTATCATTGTATCTGACTAAATCACAAACTTTGATGTATTTATTCTCCTAACAACACTGTGAAGGAGAATATGTCTTTGCTATCGCACTGATTTCATCATAACATGTTTTCTCTCTTGTCTAGGAGATGAAACAGTAGGGGTTACGCAGGCTTGGAGAATTTCAGTGATTAAAACCAGGAGATTGTAATAGAGGTGATTTTTTTTTAGAGTATCAAGTGCTCTGTTAGGGCTCTATCAAAGCTGTTTCATGCAATTGGGTTGTTCTTATGGTTTTTAGGAAGCTAATTACTTAAATGATTTCCTTTCATATAGTCACCAAATGCTGCATTTTGTGCAATTATCACAGTCCTTTATATAAAATATGGTTAACTTCTGTAGGTTCAAGACTGATCCAAACCCTGCTGAAGTCCTTGAGTGACTCTAGGCATTCACAGAGCTGTTTGTATGAGCGAATTTTGTGTCTCCTTGTTATTATGTGGTGCCTTGTTTGACCCTTTGAGTGGCGAATAACAGTGAAGTTCTATACTGTGCAGAAGAGTGGACATAGAGCCTGGCTGCTGGTTGCTGCCTTATTCACCCTGGGTGGTGCTGTAACTGGTGCTCCAGTTCTCTGAGGAAGGCAAATGAGGCCGACAATATTATGAAGTGATTTTTTTTTTTTCTCAAATCTGTTTCAAAATTGCTGGAAAAATAAACTGTCGAGGCCAAAATTATCCCTCTTGATAAGCTGTCCTCATTCTGTCCTCCTCCAGAAGGAACTGAAAACATTCCTGACACCTGAAGTTTTTTTACTGCTGTTTCACTTATAAATAAAGCCTCCAAATGAATCAAAAGTGCTAAGTACTTAATAGGCAAGAGCAAGGCAAATCCTTTGTCCCTGAATGCTTACCACCTGGTAAGGCGGAGCATGGAGAGCAACACAAAGTAATTCTGGTGCCTACAAATAGCTCTTTGCTCCCTGCACTGCTCTGGTTCACTCAGCATGACCTCTGGCAGAACATAGTTTTGGTGGGCTAAGGAGAGCTGGGACCAAACTGAGGGATAATTTTAAGCAGGAGATGTTTTAAATCCATGAGTTTCCTATTCAGATTTTATTTGGAGGGTATGCAGGAAGAATAGATAAATTGATGAAAAAAGTGTATTATGTTAATGCGCTGCTGTGGAGAAATCTGTGATTTCCAAAACAAGACAGCATTGTGTGCATCTGTTCTGTACTACAAAAAGATCCTTGGACTTTTTAAATTGGGAGGACTAAAGTAGTGGCCGTGATGTATTTTCCCATTATTATTCAGAAAGTAGTATATATTCATTTTTGTCTTCTAGAAATGTAAACAAAAGTCTCTTATGCATTTCAAGACTTGGAAAGTGGAAAAATATAAAATATCCACATTTGTGGGATAGGTGGCATCATGGGTCTTTCTTCTGGCACTCTTTGTTGGCACTAGAGCTGATGCAAGGAGATTTTAATCTATTTCTTTACAGTACCAGAAACTCATCTGAAACCCACATAGTCTTGTTTTGTAATTAAATGTTTGAGAACTACTTTTATTTATATTTACATGTGATTAACTTTTAAAGCACTGTGTACAGCGTTTTTTGCTTTTAAACTAGCCTGGAGTCAATAAATATCTTTACTGAAGTCAATTTGGTCAGCAGCAAAGAGGTAAATAGAAACTAATGGCACTCATCAAGCCTGTGGCATGAATGATTTATTGGACACAATCATTTAACACTTTTATAGAGTCAATACAAGGGAAAGAAACAGGTTTCTTATTATGGTAAACTGTATTTGTACTGTCAGCATGTAGTGATTTATGACAAACCTGTGGCCAGGATTAGGATATTATAAATGGGGGGAAAATAGAAGGCTCATTAATTTTTTATACCCACAGGTAGAAGACATGCAGTGGGCTAATAGACAACACACTCATCCAGCATCTGTCTGCAGCCTGCCTTGTAAAGCCGGGGAAAGAAAGAAAACTGTGAAGGGAGTGCCCTGCTGCTGGCACTGCGAACGCTGTGAGGGGTACCATTACCAGGTGGATGAATTCAACTGTGAACTGTGCCCCATCAATAAGAGACCAAACGCCAACCGTACGGATTGTCAGCTTATCCCTATAATCAAACTGGAGTGGCATTCGCCTTGGGCCATCGTGCCAGTCTTCATAGCTATTCTCGGTATAATTGCCACCACCTTTGTGATTGTGACATTTGTCCGGTACAACGACACACCAATCGTCAGGGCCTCTGGACGGGAGCTCAGTTATGTGCTCTTGACTGGGATTTTTCTCTGTTACTCCATTACTTTTTTAATGATTGCGACTCCTGATACAGTGGTCTGCTCGTTTCGAAGGATCTTTCTAGGACTGGGCATGTGTTTCAGCTATGCTGCCTTGCTTACCAAAACAAACAGGATTCACAGAATATTTGAACAAGGCAAAAAATCTGTCACAGCTCCCAAATTTATTAGTCCAGCTTCCCAGCTGGTGATCACTTTCAGCCTCATATCCATGCAGCTTATTGGAGTCTTCATCTGGTTTGCTATAGATCCACCACATATCATCGTAGACTATGGAGAGCAGAGGACACTTGAACCAGAAAATGCCAGGGGAGTTCTCAAATGTGATATTTCAGATCTTTCTCTCATTTGTTCCCTTGGATACAGTATTCTCTTGATGGTCACATGCACTGTTTATGCTATTAAAACAAGAGGGGTTCCAGAGACCTTCAATGAAGCAAAACCCATTGGATTTACTATGTACACAACCTGCATAATTTGGTTAGCTTTTATTCCAATCTTTTTTGGTACGGCCCAATCAGCAGAGAAGGTAAGTGATGATAAATTTACAAATCAAATACTACCCTTTTTCTATTTTCATCTTGCATTACTTATAGCACTACAATATTTTCACTCTTTAAAATGAGTAATTCTGAATGATAATTGCAAAAAAACTCTCAGAGTTCACAGACAATAAAATATAGGATTCAAAAGGTGGGTTTCCTGTATTTTAACACTAGAAACTGAATGTGATTGTGGTGTGGCTGGCATAATAATGTTGACATTTTCTCAATATATCCTTATATGACTGTTTCTTCTAACGTTTATTATTACCCCTCAGTGATGCTCTAGCCTGTTACATGAAGCACTATAAATCTTTGTTATCATCCACACAACTGGTAAAAATGGTTGCATTTCAAAAGCCTAAGATCAACTTACATTTGTCAAAAATAATGAAGAAGAATGCTTGGGCAGAATGAAAATAATTACTGTTCTTTCTGGTTGACACATAACTTTAAAAATAATAATAAAAGGAGTGAAAGAAGTGTATGTAAAATCATAAAAGTGTAATTCCCTAATTATTATCTCAGAGCAAAAAGATATAATTTTCCTGATCTTTTAATGAGAAATTAAATGTTGCATACTCAGATATCTGTTATTCCTTGTTGAATTGGCAGGGACCTTTCCTGATATCAGTCATGGTGAGCAGTACAAAACATGTCCCAAGTCGCAGGCGACAGGACAAGAGGAAATGGCCTCAAGTTGCGCCAGGGGAGGTTCAGGCTGGATATTAGGAAAAATTTTTACACTGAAAGTGTTATCAAGCATTGGAATGGGCTGCCCAGGGAAGTGGTTGAGGCACCATCCCTGGAGGTGTTCAAAAGACGGGTTGACATGGTGGTGGAGGTTTAGTGATGGGTTTTTGTCAGAGTTACGATGGTGGTTGGACTAGATGATCTTGGAGATCCCTTCCAACCTAGATGATTCTATGATTCTATGTCAGACATTTAACTCTCCTTCTCCCAGTTCTAATGGGAAGGCAGAGGTAAATGTCGACTGTGTGAGTTTTTATCCAGCTGATAGTAGTGAAAATGACAATTTAGGTAGGAAGGAGCAGTGATACCAGCATCGATCTTCAAAACTGAAAATCTGTGAGATTTGGAAAATCTTAAGAAATTAAAGCCATCAGTCTTTTACATAAATTCCTTCCTTTTTTTCTTCTAGTGGGTGCTCTTTGTAATGTTTTAAAATAAAAATTTTAATTTAATTGGAGAAGTCAACATGTGCAAAGGTTTGATACATGTCTGGTTTAGAGGGCACTTGCCTACATATTAGAGAACACAGCTTGCTAAAATAGCTGCTAATTCAAGCAGACGAATTCTATGTAGGAGAGAGCGTGGCAGAAAAACATTTTCCTCACTAAAAACTGAAGTAACGGGCTTGCTGAATTGGATCAGGCTTGATTTCCATGGCTTTTTTGATTGTCAGGGGAAGTGAATACCAAGGTTATGGCAAAATACAAGTAAAGATAAAAAATCCTGTTTGATATAGGAAAAGATGCTTAGCTTAATTGTATTTAAATTCTGACTTTTTTGTATGTGTAGACTTAAGTCAGAAAAATACTTTGTGGTATAAATGTGCAGTACTTTTTGTTTTAACCGGTTGGGCCAGTCAGTTTTATGGCAAGTAGCTCTAACAAAATAAATTTATTTCTGAGTATTGCAACACAGAAAATATTGGCTGGCGACTATGCAGTGAGTTTTGATTTACGTCACTAGTTCACTATAGCTTGTAGTAAAGGATGATTTTGTTTTGACCTCTAACAAGTTTAATGAACACCTCTTTTACATTTCATTTATGAAACCCAACACTGAACACACAAAGTATGCAAAATCACACAGCTTCTAACACTGAATTTCATTTCTTAGTTGCCTTTTTTTTCTGAAATGATTTGCTGTTCTTCAGATAGAGACTTTCAGGAGCAAAAAAACCCAAATTAATATGCTAATACAGTAGCTCTGTAATTCAAGTAATCCTTTTCACAGTGTTTCTACTTTTTGCTGCAAATAAAAGCATGTTTCCACACTGAGTCTTATGGACATCATCATCATAGTTCCTGTATTTATACAATTAAATTGTGTATCTGAATAGGACAAAAATATAATATCTCGGTGCACACACATATATGTTATCTGAATAAACTCAGAGTTGCTTGTAGGTTTCTCAGTTAATGTAAATCCTTCCAAAAGAAGGATTTTAAAACCAAACTAATACATTATAGAATATCTTATTTGAAAATTGGCATTATGATCTTTTTTGAGGATGAAAGAAATGAAAGAGAAAATAAACTTAGGCTTTTGTTAGGTGCTTACTCACTTTGTAGTTGATTTTAGAATCTTGAAATTATTTTTTCTATGGCTTGAGTTTGTTCAGAGAGAATGTAGCAATTAGCTGGGGAGCTTAAAGTCCTATTTAAAAGCAATGGTCCTTTTTTGACTGTAATAAAATTAACATAGCATCCAGTATAAGCTGGTACTTCCAGGAATTGCTACTTCCAACTATCAATTAATTGAACCACTAGCTTTAGACACACCTCTGTTTGAATAAAGAGTAGACAAAACTTCTCCAAAATTTTTTTAGGAACTTCTGTTTTCCTAAACATTAGTAGTGCTTACAACATTAGCAGAAGTCATTATGAATTTTTTGAACGAGAGTTTATATTTAGTCAATTAACTGTTCCATGATCACAGATTAAGTAAAAAGAGTATGGAGAAGGTTTTGGTTTTATTTCACTGTCACTGATAAACAAAAAAAAAAAAAAATAGGACCATTGTCTACATCCAAAACTCATAGATCCTCATGTAAAGGTTACCTTTACATTTAGTGGCCCTGGGATCAATTCCCGAAAGTGTAAATTTGCTAAGAGAGTCTGGATAGTACCTAGAGGAGCATAAGCCTGTATAGTTGGCACAAGTCTGTAAGTTGAGTATTGGTGTCCATCACATTTCAAAGATGCATGATGAAGGGCATTTAAATACACATAAGTACTTTTCCACAGACAGACTATGAATGTTGCTGCTTTGTCCTTGCTGTGAAGCACAGGATAGGAAACTCCTCTCTCTCCACTGTGCGTATGAGGAACCTCAGGTCTCTAGCTGGTTAGTACAGCTGAGTTAAATGCTCGGAATTTGCATGGTGTGTGAGATCCATAGGAGAAAACATGGTAAAAGTTGAGGTAACATGACAAGACATGGTGGGAATATATTGATTTATAGTCTTGACATCTGTAACATTTTTAACAGTTGATTATAATAGATACTCTTTCTACTAGTGTATTATCTCTGTTTACATTTAAGTTTAAGATTAATAAAAAATTGACAAAACTACCGTATAGTATCAAAAAAATTAAAAATAATCTAAACCTATGGACAATTGACAAGAGGTTAAAATACCAATCCAAAATAACCTTGCATAACCCAAGTTTGATGGCTTTTATGAAACTCCATGTTTATTGTTTGTCCTTAATCTCAAGCAGCGGAATATAAAACCCCTGTGCTAATAAACATGCCATTTTTAGATTGTCATTTCTACAGATGTTCTGCAGAGAACAATGAGATCACTGACTTTTAAGTCCTGTGTGATTTTTGTTTTGAGGGGTCTAGTTCACGATAAGCCTGTTTTGACAGCTGCTGTTTTACGAATGGAACTTGCTATAAATAGTTAAATTATTTCAGTGTGTCATTGAACTGAATGAAAAATGTATCCCTAAGACATAAAACACCAATTTTCCAACTCTTGTGTAAATGTCAGTGAGGTGATTTTGAGGGAAAGGAGTGAAATCCTGTGAGAAAGCATTCTGTGAATATAGCCTTTATCTAGGTCATGCACGTGTACATGGCAAAGGACTGGAAGTACTGGGATCATCTGGAATAGAGATGTCTGAAATGTCATGGTGACTGCGATGCCACAGAAAAAAAGATTGAATTTACCTGACTGATTAAAACACATGTTTGATGAACCTCTGGGTAAAATTAAGTTACAAAAGCAGACAGCATAAAAACCAGCAGAGGACAGATGGCTGTCTAAAGTACAACCCTATTTGATAAACTGAACTTTTAAAATTTCCTTCCTTTTACCAGATTTAAAAGGTGGATAAATCGTGTTCATTCACAGATAATAAAGACATAATTTATTATATTAACTGGAAATACTGTTTTGAATGAGGAGATGAATACTTATACCTCATACTGTGAAAGAAAAGAGGTTGCACTTTCTGGAAAGGAAAGAGGACCATAGAAAATGCTGAATGATTTCTCCCTTCCCCTTCCACTAGAAGCAATTGCAAGATGTAATAAGGCAGATAAATTTTAATGTACTTTTACTTATTCTGAGAAGTTTTATCTCTCCTTTTGTAACTGCAATAGAGGCAAAACAAGTTGTGATGTATGGTAGAAATCTTCCCATAAATTATTATCCTTATGATCTTACTATTCCAGTTGTTTTCATCCTGGATTTACTGATCATGTGGATCTTATGCTTATATCCAGCTGTTTATTAGTAACATTAAAAGAAGGTAGAAACAATTCTAAGGATATTCCGATATTAATTTGACTTGCAAACTACTGCTGTAGTTTTCAAGAGGAGGATATTTAGTTCTCAGTGAGAGGGAGAGGTAGTTTCGTCAGCCTAGTAAGATATGTTCTGTAGCTTAAAAAAACAACTACTAATAACAATTCGGGTAGAGACTCCTTACGTCCTCGTATTTCTATAAAACTTACACAAATCACCTTTTTTCTGGGTTACGAATGTATTTATGTTATGAATTCTTGACTAAATGTATGTGACTGCAAGAAAAAAAAGCATCTTAATGACACCTCAGTTAATGAAGCAGACTCCACTCAGCCTTTTCCCCACCTCAAGTCATTCTGTTCTAATCCTGATCATATTCAGAGATCTAGCTCTGCAGGTGGTCCTTACAGTAGACATCACAGGAAAAAATCCAGAAAGACAACTCATCATGTTAGAATTTCTTCCATTTTATGTATAAAC